CCCCCCCCCCCCCCCCCCCCCCCCCCCCCCCCCCCCCCCCCCCCCCCCCCCCCCCCCCCCCCCCCCCCCCCCCCCCCCCCCCCCCCCCCCCCCCACCCCCCCCCCCCCCCCCCCCCCCCCCCCCCCCCCCCCCCCCCCCCCCCCCCCCCCCCCCCCCCCCCCCCCCCCCCCCCCCCCCCAAACATGTAAGATGAAATACATGATTGCCAATGATTTAGAGGTGAGCGGTGTGAAGAACTACTACCTTAGGTATGTAGATATGTATGAGGTAGGTATGTATACTGCGCGCGGGGCGCTTGGATCGACCACCATAAGATGTAGCAGAGATAGGTACATAGTTTGGTGGTTGGAATGGATGAGACCTTTTGCGATAGCAGTGCTAAATGACCAATTGACTGCCACTTTGGTGGTATAGAATGGCCCAAAGCGGTAACTTCTCATAGGCGAGGTTCAAGGTTCGCTAGTGTATGCGAAGTACATCATCCCATGATGCAACCTGCATCCTGCAGCTTCCTGCAAGCGAGTAGCTGAGAAAGGAGGGAAGGAGGGCATATCTTAGGTAACCATGTAATTAGACATATGTAGCCATTGCATTTGCATCCCGTCCTTTCTCATCTCACCAATTTTGATAGTTACCTGTCAACTTACCTATCTGGATTCCTTTTTAATCGCCAAAATCATCATTCCTCTCGACAAGACAAGACCATACCAACGTAGCTCTATTGTCGTCATGGAAATCCTGCTGCATTGCAATTCAAATTCAAACCTCGCGCCTGCGCTGGCTGTTATTAATTACGCCTGACGCCTGACCTGAGAGACACTGGGGTGAGTGTGTCATTTGTGATTCATGAAGGTGTGCACTGGTTACCAGTGCCTCTTGCACGCAGTAGTGGACGGGTTCCACTCAAGCCCGCCTGGAAGTTACCTCTATTGTACAATACATGTGTACTTAAGGTTAGTCTAGGGTGGATATGCTGATTTCCTTGTCGGTATCAATATCAATGCTAGCAACGCTAAGTCGTGATCTTCGCAACGCCCTTATCTTTTTCTCCCTTCCTCTCTTTGTCCCACTATCTTGTCTTTCCGCGCAACGCGGTCAAGTCTTGGTGCTGTATTACCTGCACACACAAACAAGCAAGCTAGGCTGGTCGGCGAACCTATTGTACTTGGCTTGTTTTTGTCTTCCCAATGCCTTTATATCTTTCATAGCTGTCGGCGTGGAGGTAAGGGGGAACTGGGAACAACGATGGCTGCTCCCGCGAAGGAGATGCTTTCCTCGTTGCTATTGCGGTCGGGACAGGCCGCTCAACACGTCAACTCAGCGCGTTTTGATTCGAACGATCACACCCCGCCCCCTGATCCTATGAGCCGCAATTATGGTCAACAGCGACGTGCCACTGCCGATTTCACCGAGGCCGACGAGGACGAGGACGAGGACGAGGAAGAAGAGGATGAGGATGAAAACGCAGACGACTTCGACCTCAACGATAGGCCGTCTGGGCGTCGATTAAGTCGACCATTTCGAGAAACGAATGCGCGTAGGAATTCGGCTTCGATTATACCACTGTTCTCTGCTACCTACCTTGGTATGTTTGCTATTACTTTCTGGTGGATGTATACTATATATTGAGCTCTAGACTTACAACCTGGATCAGATTCTATCCCCATTTATAATGTCGTTCATGCAATTAGAATAATTGTCCAAGCAAGAACTGAGACTACGTTGACGTGGGATCAAATTCGATCACCCCAAGTTTCTCAATTCCTAGTCAAACCTATGCAACAGCAGATCCGGACCCAACATTTTAGTCGTGTGACGCTGTACGCTTTAATGGCGAACTGCCTCCAATTTGCGAAGGAGGGACAGCTATACCCGGGTAACGCAGGTACGAGTATGACGCGAGCGAGGGTCTGTGAAATTCTCGCCTTGAAATTATTGAAGGAATACAGTACGAGGGAGCTGATTGATGCTTTGTCCTACGACTTCTACCCGCTCCAAGGAGCCCCCGAGACACCGACGACGCATGTAAAGTCCCCCGACAGCAAGAACCGCCCATCTGTAGCCCGATCTTCCACGCTCGAGGTAGCTATCCGTGCTTCCGCCAAGCACTTCCTAGCCCACCCACTCGTGGTTCAACAACTCGAGGCCATTTGGAACGGTGCTATCAGCTTCTATTCGTCCCAAGACAACCTTCATCGGATTATGTCCAAGCCCCCAACTCCAAGTGGGAACGCCCAAAACGGCCCAGCGGGAGTTCGAACACCGCTACTCGGCCACCAAGTTGCTAAAGAGCAACTGTCTCAATTACCGCTACATCAGATACCTGTACGACGAACGGTAAATCTGTACGACCCACGCCAAGCTTCTCCTTTGAAGTTATCTCGCCTCCGCGTTCCTCGCTATAGACAGTTTCTATCAACATGCTCCTTATTTGCCCTAATATGTTTATTTTTAGCAGTTCTGATAGAACGCTCTAGTCGCATTACCGAACTAGAATTAGTATTCTGGTTTTGGAGTGCGGGCTTCATGCTTGATGAAGTTGTTGGTTTCAACGAGCAAGGTTTTTCCTTGTATATCATGAGCTTTTGGAATATTTTCGATCTCGGCATTCTACTCTTACTCATCGTATATTACTGTTTGAGAGTATATGCTGTGTTTGTCGTTGACCCCTATCGTTGGAATGAGATGGCATATGATGTTCTAGCAGCGAACGCCATACTCTTGTTGCCACGTATCTTCAGTGTGTTAGATCACTATCGATACTTTTCACAGCTTCTGATTGCCTTTCGGCTCATGGCGGTGGATCTTGCGGCTGTCTTCGTTCTCGTCCTAATCAGTTGTTCTGGGTTCTTTGTGTTCTTTACACTCTCTAGCAACCAAAATGCCGCACCAGAGGTTGCTTACAAGATCTTCCAGATTCTCATGGGGTTCACGCCAGCTGCGTGGGATGTGTACGTCCAGAAGCACCCCGGGTTCTTCCAGATAATATCAGCTAACCAAGACTCTCAGATGGCCGGAGTATACTTTCTTAGGCAAGACGCTACTAGCGGCTTTTCTCATTATATGCCATTTCCTCGTCGTGTAAGTCTGTCCTTAGCACAAACGCTGTACGATTCTAACATGGGATAGTACAATACTGATCACCGTACTGACAAATTCCTTCACGGCAATCGTATCGAACGCGAATGAGGAGCACCAGTATGTAATCCTTTTCAGTCTAACTTTTAGTTTTACTTACACCCGCCCAGGTTCTTGTTTGCGATCAATACTATATCTATGGTCAAGAACGACGCAATGTTCTCTTATGTCGCGCCAGGCAATATCCTCGCTTGGATCTTGACGCCGTTACGATACGTAATGTCTATAAAGCAGTTTGTGATTTTGAACCGCACGGTCATTAAATTGACCCATTTTCCTCTTCTATTTTGCATATTCATTTATGAAAAATACTTTCTCGCCCCGTCGATTTACGAGCCGACGGATCTGGTCGAGCATCAAGGGCGCCGTAAAACAAGGGGGATATCATTCACCGACCTTGCTAGTAGGGGAACGGCCCTTTTCAGCCCAAGCATGAAGACACGTGAGGAATCGATTGCTGGATTTCAAAAAGACCGTGCCCTGGAAGAGGTCTTCCGTCGACTTCCTGATGCCGGCACAATACGGAGCCAGAGAAGACAAGAAAGGAGGAAGACGCAGACAGCTATTCGCAATTGGATGGAACAAAATGACGAGATTGGTGAGCGTCTCTCTCATTGGCCTACGATTGATAGTCGTCGGAGCCTTTCTCAACGACGAATGAGCATGAGCCGTGATTTTCCTAGGAGATCCAGGCATGTCTCTGACATTCGATCGGCTGCAAGTGACCCTGCCGACCTTGTGTCGAATAGCGGCTTTCCTGGCTCTAATGTTAGGGAACTCAACGGTCAAATTGATGAACAACAGGCACGATATAGGGACCAGACAGAAGCAGATGGCGATGATGAATTCGTAACAAACGATGAGGAGGAAGATGAGATGATAAACGCAAGCCACCGTGACAGCAATGCTAGTCCACGAGAGCGTGAAGACTATTTCACGTCCTCTCTAGGCTTGAGGCGTGAGGTATTAGTTCCGTCGTCTTTGGGTTCTTCCTCACACCAACAGAGTATGGCCGTAACATCACCTAGAACTAGCAATACACCTCGTCGCCAAGGTCTCCACAGCCGCACACTTTCCACAAATACAATCCTTTACGCCCCACAAGGACCTAATCACTTCGAAGCAAGTCCATCCTTGATCTCGGAAGAGCCATTGGGTGCGAGCTCCCGCCCGCGAACCAGCCGACTGGCTACAGCTGCAGCTGCAGAGTCATCCGTACCAAGCGGCACACGTTCGCCGCGGAGGACGCAAAATAGACCGCCCCCGGCAACGCGGCCGAGACCGATCCCCGCAAGATCGGTACCTAATCGCTCTATCCTCCACAATGCTGTTCCAAGAATCCGACGCCTTTCATCTGTTGATGGGGCCATTAGTTCTGATATAGGGTTGGATGTGACTAATGAGTTTGGTGCGGTGCCCTCATCATTCGCAACACAAATGGCTATGGCCACTGGCCAGCTGAAGGTGCTGAATCAAAGCAGTCAAGAACGCGAGGATTCAGATAGAATCAGCCGGTTAATTTTGGCTAGGATGAAGAACCTCGAAGAGAACTTTGCAGATGCTATGAAGGAGATTCGAGCGCGAAGTGCAGCGCCCACGGCACAGAATTCAGAAGATGAAGGCGGTTGGAGAACAGGTACGAGTGGCGAAAGGCCACCGAGCAGAAAGAGAGCATCAGGGGTAAAGAGCAAGAGTGAGGGAAGCCGGCCGGTGAGTAATAGGGAACAAAAGGATGGCTTGGAGACGGTTATTCCAAGGAGTCATCGGTCCAAGGGGAAAGGGAAGGAAGTCGCGGGGACAACAAGCGCTGGCGAGCTGGAGGGTGAATCGGTGACGGAATGGCCCAAGAGGGGAAGCTCCGTATAAGCGGCGTTCTAAGTAGATTCTGCCAGGGCTCTTTTATTTTGCGAGCTAGCCTCACAAATCATGCATCATGGCGTTTCGGTTTGCCTTGGGGGTTAGAAGGCAACGGTAAGCAAAAGGCCCGAGTTTTTTGGTACGATACCAGGGGGGGAGGAAGGGGATGGTGGTTTGGAAGCATATACCTATCAGCGATGTCTGATCTGGCATGCGATGTGACATGCCGTATGACAACAACTTACATGTAATATTACGCAGAAGTGGATAGTGCATAAGACAGCTTATCAGAGCTGGCTATTATCCATAAAGCTTTTCTTAATTTGTTTAACATTCTTTTTTTATTGTATGTCTTGTATCGTATCTAAGGGTAGTAAGAAACAGAAAACGCCCGTCATTACGTTACCCAATCATCACGTACGCATATACATCTAATGATGAGGCGTGTCTAGCCCTTTGTCATGATAAATCCCAATTGTGTCGTAAAATTCCCAATTAACCCAGCCAGCCAGCATTCTCGCGTCGTTCGAGGTACGAGTAATTGCCCCCAAATATTCACGATTCTCATTGATGATGTTGCCTTGTTCTCTCTCTCTCTCTCCCCCTCTCCAAATAGATAGATCTTAGGTCTTAGGGCTGTCTAGGTTTTCCCAAGATTAGGTACCTATACCTATACTCGTATATATATATATATATCCTCGGAAGCTTTTATTTTAGATACCGCCGCCGCTCCGGTCGACGCTGACGTAGAAGTTGGGGTGCTCGGGCGAGTTCTTCTGGGCTTTCTCGTTGCGGGTCAGGACGGATCGGCGGTACTGGACGGCGACTGCGATGCCGGCTGTTGCGACGGCGGCGAGGGCTAGGCCGGGGTGTCGGGAGCTGGGCGGCGTTGGGGGGTTAGTCTAGTTGACTTCTCACGTATGTGCTAATTAATTATTGGTGTACTTACAGAGGTCCGCCGGTGGTCATTCTGGCTGCTCGGGTGCGGTCCATTTTTTATTATTTTTTATTTTTTAATTTTTTTTGTTTTGTTTTGTTTTGAGTTGGAAGATTTGCTTGAGCTCAGATAAGGGAGGTAAAGCCTTAGGTTATTCTATTGGTAGCAAGATAGTTTTATACAGGTAGGTATGTAGGTAGCACGAGAACTGAAAAGCAAAAGTCACTTATATAGAAGATGATCGCCGGGCAGACGGAGAGATTTATATATGTATGTCGGCTTAGAGCACTGACCGCTACATACATACCAGCATACATACCGACGGAGCCTACCTAAATTGATAAGATGTTCTCCAATTTTATGTCATACAAGGGTCTACATATAGTATAGAATTCCCCAGACTTTCGGGTAGAGTGGGCAGACGCTGATGAGGTCAGTGGTGCGATCCTCGTGCGGAAAACGAAAAAGTTAAGGGAAAGCTGGCGAAGCTGACCGGTTCGGGATAAGGGGCACGCGAGCCGAATGGGGTGGCAGCTTATCGGGAGGATTTCCGGGAAGCTTCCTCGTTAAGCTTAATGCCCTTAGTACAATGCATGTTAAGAGGGGTAAGTAGGTATAATGCGGGGAATGGGGTTATCATTAGTTAATAAGAGGCGATAACGTTTCAAGATCTGACTAACTAACTAACCTTTCGGTAACTTAGGTAATCATTTGTTTTCGATCCGCAGTATAGCACTCGATATAGTTAAGAGGCATATATGTATGTATGTATGTTGTTAGCTGACCGGTTAGTTATGTAGGAGCTATGCAGCTATGTTGGTGACTTGTCAAGTCTCACAATCATGTATAAGCCACCGGCTAGGCAGAAGCCTATATAAGTCGATAAGTCAAGTTGAAACTACGTGTACGAAGTAGGTATAATTAATATTGTAATGCAGAATAATATATGTATAAGAAAACCAGCTAGTTGGAAATGGCAATGGAAACATATGACCGTCTTGATTGATTGAGATCATTTTCAATAATATTTGAGAGTTGGCTTTAATACTTGGAGACTCACAGTATAGACTCCATTTCACTTACACTGTCCCGTAAGGCTTATCGGTTGATCTTCATCGCCTGCCTCGCCTGCGCGATACCGACCAATAAGGATATAGATATTCATTAGGAGGAAGGTGTGTAGCTTCCATGTACTTGTGACAGTGCAATTAGAGATGTAAGCAGTACCTACGTATGTACGGTTTGCTACTTGTGATCATACTTGTATGTATGTAGCTTAGATGTACCTACCGGTACCTATACATCCTATACATAATCCATGGATGTTTCCCGCGTACGGCATGGAAGCTTGCATATACCATGTAAGCAGGCAGTCATCAGTCAGAATATCAATGGAGGCAACCACAGCCTTATAATTAATATTTTCTCTATCTACTAATAGTCTAATAGTCATCTAAGCAAACCTTCCTTCCTTACTTACTTTCCTCTTGTCATTATTATATTAAGTGTTGCATCCGACTTAATATTCCATCTACCCATATTATCATAGACTAGTTATCTATGATAACTAGCTTGGAGCATTGCTCTTCGAGTAATACTGTAATCATGCTCTCACAACAGCTAGCTATGCAGAGAGCAGAGTTTCAAGACTCTCCTCCTCCTCCTTCATCAGATCCTACTCCTGCTTCTCGTGGCTCTCTACTGGATGCGGCAATCGACCAGTTATTAAAAGACCAGCCTAGCGAAGGTGACGCCAACTACGCTTCCAAGTCTCGAGAGAAGACAGATCTCACCAGACTCTTACACGTTCACGTTGAATGTGACGATGGGGATACTCTAGTTGTTGTTAATTTCCCTTCAGGCTATCCAAGTTGTAGTAGGGAAGAGGTAGGTCCCGATTTCTAGCACTATATAAGAGCCTATAGTCTACTCTACGCCTTCGTAAGCGTGGCAAATTGCGTGGCAAATTTGCTTTAGCCTTCACCATAACTATCTCATCTCATGTCTATAGATCAAATAGGGGGTCTGGAGGACTTTATCTCTTCTTAATGTAACTAATCAACTTTTGTTATAGTGGACCCCAAAACGCTTCTTCGTCCATTCAGAGAAACTCCTCGCCACTGGTTCTAAAGTCTTCGCAAATTTGTTGTCGCCCAAGAAACAAGCCCGCTTCCAAAAGGGTTTGGAGCTTGCCGGTGAAACTATCTCGCAGAGATTCGTTATTGATCTCACTCCTTCAGCTGAGGGAGACGACCTAGCTGCCCAGCTCATAGAGCTGTCTTTACCTCCTAGCGTCACCGACTGGTGGACGTCAAAGGAGAGACTAGGTATATCGCCATATCTAGTTTCAGGTCATGACGATCACTGCCCCTATCACGACGAGGTTCCTTTGCACTGTGTGAAGAAGACGTCATACATAGAACAGAAATTGGGGCCCAGAGAACGTCTTCCAACAATCGATCTACTTGACATCGAAACGGTAAAATCTAGAACCATCGACGATTATTGTCCTATCCGTCATCGCGTCAACATCGTTCGTCTCCTTTTGGCCATAGAAGGTTATGATCTGGTCTTGAATTCGGCACCCCGGGTCTACACGCTCACAAGTATTGCTAGCATACTAGATTGCACACGTGTTATTGTGAGTGGAAATGTAACGTTAGACTATTATATTACTAATTTTGCTAATTATAGCGAGACTCTGTGTATACTTGGTTTTTAGCAGAACCCAACACCGAGTTTATTGATATCAATGCCGAAGTTGCGTTCAAAATCGCGTGGACGTTGGAAATAGATACTATCGCCCGAGCCGCATTTCGCATCCTCGTTGTTGAGAAGGCTTTGGATACTCTCGCTGCTCAACCCCCGGTACAAAAAGATCGATATACGGTTTTCGGCCGCCCTCGTGTGGATCTACCTGACGATCTGCAGACTGTTGTTCAATATGCAGCACAAAAGCTTGCCGATCGTATTCACCACACACTCGCAAAGTTTAGATCAGATCAGTTCTATAACGTGCTCGAAATATCGGAATATCGAAAATTCGTAGAAGTCGGCGACACCACCCGCGCAGCCATTTCCAGCGGCTCAAGCGGCCAGTCAACCTCGAAGAAAGATTTCAAGCGCAATAAAATACTAAATAGGCTACTTGATTCGTTCTCTACCCTTTATACAAAGCTACAAGAATATAAGGATTATATCATACAGGCGGCAACGAATGCCGTACCCGGGTATGACCAGCAAACCGCTTACGATCGCAATCGGCGATGCTATGTGGATGGTCAAAGACGAACTCCTACTTCCCTTATCGCTAGCGATTTCACAGATGCCCAACATCTTCTGACCCCGTGGTTCTGGCTTTATCTGGCTTCGTATCCTACCAACTACGAGGGGCCGTGCTATCCCGATGAGTCTCTGGCTTTATATGTGGACGAGTTCAACAACAAACTAGCCGAAGCGACACCCTACCTCTACGGAGGAAGTAGCTATGATAAATTCGCGAACCGTTTCCATTTCCGCCTGGATAATTTTCGCATCGAGCTTCACGCCGCCGTGTCGAAATTATGGGCTTCCTGGACAAACCCCGAATTGGAAGTACCGCTCACTAGAACGGAACACATCGTCCTAGCACTATCGGAAGATGAGTTCCAGTATCTCCCCCTTTGGGCCGGCGGACTCAACGATGGGAGCGGCGGCGTTTTCCAATCCGCCGTCCCAGACGCAGACTTAGGCCCAATTGGCCCCGGACCAGCCTACCGCACGGGCAATACGGTGGCGACAGATACTTCAAGCATCTGCCAATCCGATAAGACACCTAGCGGACTCAGCACCGCGACATTAACCGCCGGACGGTCCATAGACGCCGTGCCGTCGAATATAGATCCGAGTACTGTCCACGACGGGACATCTATACCTGTGTCGGACAGCCGCGTCTCATTCACACCCGCTGCGAGCGTGACGGGATCAACGGCCACCATAGACGGAGACGAGAGCGACGGATATGAATCCGATGGCAGCGATGAGATTGACGACGAGGCCTGGTCTCTGGTCGAAGAGCCTTTGATGTAGTGATAAGTGTGTATATTTTGGGGGGTACGGGATGTATTGGTTGGATAGTAATAGAATAAATAATAAGGGCGCGAGGCTGTGGCAAATATCTAAAGCATGGATTTTATTAGGCTAGGTTGGTCTATGGGGGGGTTATGTTCACGTAAATTGGGGAGAACGAGCTGATGAGATGAAACGGAATAGAGGATGCGTCTTCGTCGAGAGTGCATACCTAGGTACCTACCTAACCTAAGATAGGAAGGAGTATACCACGCACGACATCCGTATGAATGGATATAGATGCGTTGCAGCAATATCTAGGGCAGAAACGAATCTAATACCTAGACGCGAAAATATACTCCCTATTTCTTCATCATATCCAAATCATGTCAAGTAAACGAAAAAAAAAATGGCGAACTTAAATGTTTAGAGATGGGTAAAACCTCTATTCACCCAGGCCTTCCTGCGTCCAAGATATCTGAAGCGGGTATATAGCTGGCTAGCACACTAAGGATCCTCCAAGCAGTGCAATGGTCCACCACATGCTCTAGTACAGGAAGCAAATCAAAGGTATCATTGGCAAAAAAGAAAATTAAAGCAGATCTGAACAGCCCGTCTCCCTTAATTGCAACCTTCCCCTTCCTTTGGTCGGCAATAGCACGTTTGGAAAAAAACAGTTTCCTCACAAATCCCGGATACCATGAATTGGATACCCCCTTTTTTCGCTCTCTAAACGCCAGGTTTCATGCTCATAAATGTACCCTTCATGCTGTGCGGTAATGTAGCACTTCCCACCCTCTATCTCTTTGTGTATACGGGGATGGTTGTCCGTGGATATGTATAGTTGCGAGGGTATAATAGAGAATTGAACATTATGTTTATACCGTGGAAAACTCTGAGGTCGATGATCTTCGTCAAATCCATTCCATGTCGGTACCTAAGTCCGCCTCCACCGCCTCCATGCTCTGTTTTCTAGGCCGGCCTCGGGGTCTGGGCTTTGAATTGGACCGCACTCGCTTCTTTCGTCCTCCAGGAGCGGCTCCCGCCTTTCTCTTTCGACCGCGGGGGTCAACATCGACCGCGTCTTCTTCACCTTCGGCATCCGTAAGTATTGACTCACCCTCAAGGTCAAACTCTTCTTCATCAGGGACTTTGACTTCGCTGTCGACGTTTAGAAGTTCCACAAACGCCCTGCACTGCTCCATCATGCGTTCCGGCGTATCCAATGCAGACATGATCCTGGAGAGGTCATCCCAGACTTTGTCTCCGGTAACCCCTGGAGCTTTTATTGGGGTCTTAGTAAGATCTTTCGGGGCACCCTTTCCTTTATTATTCTCGCGTCGATTGGAGCCCAGCCCGTATAACCGACGTAGATGAGTGCGTACCTCCCAAAGAATAAGGAGGATAGTCGAGCCAGCTGCTAACTGGCAAAGCCGTTGCTGATCAACGGGAGGTGGCGCAGGGGCCGCTGGCTGTTCCCCGCCACCAACGGGTTCCTGGGAGATAGAGGCTTGGTCTATGCGTACCTGGAAGATTTCGGACTCGATAGCTTGGGCAATACCAGATCCTATTGCAGTTACCATCTTCTCCATGGCAGTAATTGTAGCCTGTAGCTCGCCGACAGTGACGAACTCGAAGAAAGCAATATTCTCAACTATAAAGCGAGAGAACTCGACGTGCGGTGACAATGCCTGATCTGTGGGAAGCTTTGATGGATCAAAATCGACTTGCCCAACAAGCTTCTCAAGGAATTTAACGCGATTTTTGGATTTGCTGATCTTTAGTACTTCGGTGAGAAGATGAAGTTTCGGCGTCAACGAATCCTTGGTCGCACCTCGCGGGTCCCCGACGACGTCACGTTGGTACTGGAAGGCTGAGTGTATGGCTTTTGCATACTCCCTTTCAAGCACGCTCTCGTATTTTTCGTGAAGCGCTCTGTGCTCGTGGTATGCGAGCTCTGAAATTCTAGACACTGGGCAAGTCTCAAGTGTAATGAGGGTAACACCGGTCTCCTTCGGGTGCACTAAACCTTGTCGATTAATACTTGCCAACACCTCCATAGCTAGGAAGGCGTGGTCATCATAGGTCGATAGAGTAATGCGAGTAATGTCCTTGAGGAACCGCTGCGTGGTCGCGCTCGCCACATCATCAAAGCTAGTACTACCCATAACCTTCAAGTCTTTCTTAATGGACTCTTTGCCGGTAGCTGCTGATGAGGCCGCTTGCTCAGACCGCTGTTCTTCTATTAGGAGAAATTCCTTGAAAGATCGGAGAACCATCGTCTCTAAAACAGGGATACGCTCGTCGAAGGCCTGCTGGAATGTTGTATAGACATTAGCAGCAACATAGTTCCTAGGGTTGGTCTGGCAGATTAGCCCAATAGCATCTAATGCTGGCCGTCTCACAGTTGCTGGGTGCGAGGGGTTTGCAAAAGGGACGAGAACGTCTACCATGAGTTTCGACACGGAGCCCTTCCACTTTGGCAGACTAGAATCGGACCTGAAACGGTCCACGTGGCTATCTAGGTTGCAATGTTTACCGACCATCCCAACGATAAGAGAATATCGGTCAAACTGTCTGATCTTTGTTTGGTCAAGTGGCCCCTTCTTATTTAATAGTTGAATACCTTTAAGGCATGATAGTACTAGGCGCGCGAGGTTTTCGGATGACTGGAGAAGTTCGCTAATGATCCATATACAAGCTACAACGTCGTCAAGGAGTACTCTAGTTACTTTAGAGGTAGCAGGCATAAGAACCTTGCGAACATCGGAAAGGAATTTCGAATGCACGCTGGATACCTGTGGTAGTACACGGCGATATATGACAACAACGGCTCTCGAAACTGCTAGGTCTTCACTGGTACTAACGCTAGCGACATGAGGCTCTAATTGTCGGATCTGCTCAAAGGTAAATAGCTTCGGGTCCGCTCTTGCGAATATCATGAGAACCTGGAAGGCGTCTCTACTGGATGGAATTGATGGATCATCCGATTCGGGATTGTTGATAAGGTCAACCAAGTTTGCAACAAGTCTTGCGCAAACTCTGACATTAGCTTCAACAAGTTTGGAGTCGGGCGATAGTATTGCCTGAAAGAGCTTATCAAGAATGAGTGCGGTGTTTCCATGCTTAACAGTCTGGACCATGAGGGCGACATGATCGGTGAGAGATTGCTTGAAGGCTACCGAGTCGTCATCCTTATAGAAAGGCGAAATCCAAACTTCTTCTATCATCTGTCTGGCGAGCTCTCGTACACCCTCGTCTGGATCTTGCGTACGGATTAACAATTCATACGCAATCTTGCTCCTAACTGCCTTGCTATCGTTCCCTAAGTATATGTCCTTAGCCAACTTCATTGCTCGCTTCCGCACGCCAATCCCAGAATCGTGGAATCGTTGTATTACCGTTGGAGTCATCCTCTCCTCCAACCTAGGGCGCATGCTCATGCATTTTCCTATAAGGCCAAGAGCTGAATCGCGCACTTGAGGTGAAGGATCGTTAGAGCATTGGAGGATGAGCTCGATGAAAGCGCCGTCGCCGTCAAGGATGGTAGGATCGGTGTCAAGCACGTGATTAACGCTCTTGAGACTACGGCTACGCACAGTTGCCTGATCTGTAGTCATGGATCCCATGAGTATGTTCAGGATATTTTTGAATGACGCACAGAAACTCGATCTGAGCAAGATGATCGAGTGGGAGAGCTTTGCGTAATTGGAGACCACGGATTTGAAGCTATACTCCCGAGAGAGCCATTTCGGATCCTCAATCATATTACGGAGGCGAAATGCAATCCTCCCAAATTCACGGTCTCGTTCCTCCGAATCTTCACCTTCGGCGGAATCGTACCCGAGGCTGACTTGTGACCCCCAATCCGTTATCAGATATGATATAGCTCCTTTAAGATAGGGATCGTCGCTTAGACGATCTTGCAGATATTCTAAGACGACGCGATACGGCCCTAGCCAGCCGACCGTCTTTTCCATCGACTTGTTACCCTCTAAGACATTTAGAGCTAGATCAGCAAGCCATCGTCCCAGTTCGTCCGAGTCGCTGCCTTCGAAATTGGTGGCGGTCTTCCTGACGTGGGATCGTAACTTTGTTATGGCCGCGGCCATAACGCCCAGGAGTTCTAATGCCATGTTCCTCGCCGGCGCCGCATTTTTATCGCCGTCCATCTGCTGGAACATCATGTACATCGTAAGCCGCAGCAACAGCTCTGCCGCGGGCCAATCCGGGGAATCTAGACATGTAGTGAAGTCTTCTATAAACAGATCTAGTAAATTTCGATACGGGGTGTCTCCCGACTTGGTCGATCTTAGCGCCCGCTTCACAATGAAGTTGACGACATACGTAGCATTGCGGTAAGCGCCATCGGTCAGGGGTTTTGCAAGAGCCTGAAGCTCCTGGATAGCTGTCGAGTGCTGAACTGCTGCAGATGCTTCCGTCTTGATCGCATATGTAGTCTCAGCCTTCCCATTAATACCTTCAGCGGAAGAGACGGGGTCGCTATTCCCCTCATCTTCTGCTATGGTCTGCATCATCCGGCCGCGAAGCTTCTCTTTGCGATCATCCACCTTCCCGGCACTTGCTTGGATTAGTCGCATGATCAGGGCCGAGACAGGCTGGATACTTTTCCCTTCTGAAAGCTTGAACTGCCTTGCACTTTGCTTACCGATAGGTAGCTTCTCAAGGGACGTCAAAATTTCATTGAAGATGCCTTCCCTCTGGGAGGGATTCATGAGGAATATCTGCGATAAAACATTCATAGCTACCAAACGAAGCGTGTCAAACTTTTGGACCCCGACGACCGAATCTTTCTCCGTATGCGCGTTCTCAACGAAAATGAGACGCGATGCCACGAACTCGAGAGTATGCACGACGGTTTCAGAGAGGTCAATGCTGGCTATGAGGTCTGACATTAGGGAAAAGACCTTTTGGCAGGTCGTGAATAGAGTACTAATGGCCTTCTTATGTATCGTAAGGAGGCGAAATAAGTTACTCGTCGGACCGGTGCTCCGTAGCTCAGCCGTAGGGATGATTATGTCCTCTATAACATTTCTGAATAGATTTAGGCCTTGTTGAATCAAGTCTTCGGAGTACAGTTGCTTTTCCTCTCGACCGCCACACATAATGCGGAATGACGTACGAGCAGCTTTAAGGCCCATTTCGATATCGTGAAGCTGCTGGACCCAAAAGCCAACATCGGTTTCACCCCATGCCTCATCCAGTTTGAATTCAAGCGTATCGGCATGCTTCAAAGAACCCTCGCTTAAACTTTGGATTCGGAGAAGGTCATCTAGGGGGGCCTGGCGGAAACACCCAAGGTCAATGGCTCTATTTATCTGCCTTTGAGCTTTATCATGTGCAGCTATCGTCATAGTAGGTTCCTGCTCATTCGTCAATATTACTAAATGCGATGCGTACTGATTTGACAGGTGATCCTCGGCAGTAAATATCTCTTGGAAGCATCTACGCAGATCTGCAAACGCGGCATTGGCGAGTTCACGCTGGTTGAGCTCACCCCCGAGGGGGTCTTCGAGTTCTTCATGAGAAGTGTGCTTCCTCTTCGCTGACAAATGAGCAGGGGTATCTGGCGAATCAGGGACCACTGCAAATTCGTTTTTATTAAAGCTCGCTGCGGGTATTTCAATACTAATTTTACCCTGCTTAGAGGAGCTTGATAATGAGCCGTGTAGGCTTTGGCCCATTACAGAAGACGAATGCCCAGAAATTTCTAGCGGTTCGGGGGTTTCCAGAGCGGCATGCGTTGGCTGGGGTGTTTCGGATTTCACTTTGGTTACTGATGGAGAAGCCACTTGTGGGACTTGCGAGGCCGAGGGAGTTGGTATCTTTGGCGTCACCATTATATCCGCAAGTGAAACTGTCTGGGACTGAGCTTGCGTTGCAGAGGAGTGAGGCGGAACAGGCGGTCTTGTTGGTGTATACATAGACGCGGCTGCGTCCAGTTCCTTTCGTGTAGGAAGATGGACCTCGATCCGAGATTTATTGTGAGCAACCGCCTGCGCATTTAAAGTAGCTGGATTGTGCTTAACAACCTTAGGCGGTTCTTGTCTACGCGCCTTGGGCGATTTCTTGGCGATCCGTGGCGACATGTTGTGGCCATTGGGTGTTGAGATGTTGGGGGTTTCGGTAGTAGAGCAGTGGAAGGATATAGACGTATTATCATAAACCATCTTCGCAAAGGGGGACATGCCATCGGCCAGACTTTGGGACGATCGCTTGACTAGAGAGGTAGCTTTCGGCGCAGACTTGAATTGACTGTAGTGATTGATATTAGTTAGAACGGCTAGCTACGTGTAGCTTAGAAGCAAGAAGCAATCATTGCGAGTTGATGGCGATAAAAATACTCACAATTTCGTGATCTTATCGGCCTTGAGAAGGTTCTGCACAAACTCAAGGCTTCCCTCGATACGTTTAGAATGGCCAGAATTCTCGGCCTCCTGGTTTAAGGCATCGTAATCTTCTCTCGAGACCAGGCGGGTAAGGGACGGTGCGAACGGGCCGGATCCGATAGTAGGATTGCTGATAATATCTTTTCGACATTTTAAGTTCTCGTTAGGTTCAGGTCACGCGGAAACGCGGAAAGAAAACTTTTAAATTTGTGCGCGCAAACGCTACAACAATAGAGAAGGAAGGTGCGACTTCAGAAGCTGACTCACCTGGTTCAAACGGAAAGACCGAGGTGAATGGCGTATAAGGAAGGGCCTCATTTAACGTGAAGGGTCTCGAGCCATTCTGTCGCTGGAGGACATCGGGACTGGCTTGCGGATAGGCTTGTTGGTCGAAATGAGGCACCATGCCATTCTGGCCGTTCTGGTCGCCATTATACGGGTTCGCCATGATAGCGCTACCGACACCTTAGTCGTATTATCCACGATGGCCAAGCTACTCGGTTTCCCGCTACGTCGAAGCCGTTATGCTATCAACTCATTGCAGTCGTTTTTACCGTGGAGGACAGGGTAAGCGTGTAGGTCGTTCCATACGTAGTACCATGAAACGAGTTGAATTGCGATCCCGAAAGTCGAAAGTCGATGCGATAACGATGGAGTGTTTGTTGTTGGTTAGGAAGTAAATATGTGAAGTCTGAAGAAGCGACAAGGATTGGATGTTGGAAATGCTGGCTGGACGCGAACGAACAGCCTGATAGCGCAGCCTTGCGTAACTCAAGGAAGATTTAGGTAATTTGATTGATCGGTTTGCAGACCGGGTTTCAAGGCTGGGACGGGTCATTGCCAGATAAGTACCTAAGTACCTAGGTACCTAGCCTAAGGTATCCAAAACCGGGGAACCTGCCACGCCTTACCACGCACGCGCATTCCATTATGTACCTGCAATAGGTACCTAAGTACAGGTAACGTGCTTATACGCTTCGATAAGTACATATCGACTTATTTACATATGCATGCACTTAATTCATTCAATTAATGGTATCATAGCCTACATTAAGTCACGGGACAACGTGACGTTACCCGCGTCTCATTAATCAGCGTCGCTCTGCCACGCGTTTATCAACTACACGTTTGTCGGTGAAGAATGATGAGATCAAGCAAGTCGATATTCATAAACTTTTCAATTTCTCTTAAGTAATATTCAGTGTTGTCAGAAATCCGAATCAAGTCAACTCATCTTGTCTTATGCTCGATACAGCTAAGACCCCGTCAATTCCAAGATGACCTCCCATCGAAAGATCGCCACCGGCCATCGAGTAGATTCTTTTGTAAATATAAAAACCAGGCATCTCATTATTTAAGATCAACTTCAAAATCCCGTCAACATGGGGAGTCGTTTAGATGCCAACTCAAATGCTGTACGAAAGCGTATACAAGACCATACCTTTTCGGATGAAGCGGGCGAGGAATATGAGCCTAGCGCCTTTGGCGGTTTTGGAGATTACTTTCGCCGCAAGAAAATCAAGTTACAGAATCTTGATTCCGAATTGAGAGCTTCGTCGACAGACAAGCCCCAAATCTTCAAGGGGGTCGTCGCGCACGTTATAGGCTATACGCAGCCGCCACTCCAAGTTCTTCATCGCGATCTGGTTCAACATGGCGCCGGCTTTCTCCAGTATTTAGATTCCAAGACCATGGCAACTCACATCATCGCATCTAGCTTACCACCGAAAAAGATGGTCGACTTTAGCAAGTACAGGATGGTGAAGCCTGCGTGGGTTACAGATTCTATCGGGGCTGGAAGGCTTCTACCGTGGTCAGATTACCGGGTGATAGACGAGAGCCCCAGGCAGAAGACGTTGAAACTAAGTGGGACTGGAATATCCACACAATCCAGTCCGCAATCGCCCTTAGCAAGATATCGGGAGCAAACCGAGAGTAGTTTCTATAATAGTCAGCTTAAAGGTATTGCGCAGTCTATCGACGGAAAGCCTCTCGGAGACATCTCATCTAGTCGGCCAGGGTCAGCTCTTAAATATACTTATAATAATGAGCCTGCTGAGCCCGCAACACCTTCGGGCGTATTGCAACGGCCGCAATACTCACCGGACATTTCCGATGAGTTGGACGAAGACTCGGTGATGCTGGTCGAATACCCGGAATCTACGGCACCACAAGCGACTAAGGAGCCTGATGAACAAGCCAAGGATGACGTCGAAGATGACACCCAGCCCGGTCCATCAGTCGAAGAACAAAAGGCGATGACTTCTGAAGAGCATAACGCATTACTTCTGCAGGATCCGCGGATGAGGAAATCTTCCACCGCAAATCCAGATTTCATCCAGCAATACTACTCTGAAAGTAGACTTCATCATCTATCGACCTGGAAAGCCGAGTTAAAGTCTAGGATGCAGAGGCTCGCCGCCGAGAAAGGTCCCCAGAAAAAGCCGGCAAAAAAGAAGGCCGGCGCGAGACGCTACGTAATGCACGTTGACTTCGACAGCTTTTTTTGTGCAGTTTCGCTAAAAAGCGCACCCGAATTCGTTGATAAACCTGCTGTTGTTGCACATGGGACAGGATCCGGCTCGGAAATAGCCAGCTGCAACTATCCAGCGAGGAAATACGGCGTGAAGAACGGCATGTGGATGAAGCGAGCTAAGGAATTGTGTCCCGATCTCAAAGTACTCCCATATGACTTTCCAGCATACGAAGAAGCCAGCAAGTCGTTCTACGAATGCATTCTAGAAGTCGGCGGCGTCGTGCAGAGCGTCAGCATCGACGAGGCTCTTGTGGATATCACCTCCGTTCTCCTATCTGCAGTTGGCTCAGATGGTTCCGGGGTCGACGAGGGCAGTATTTGGAGGGAACAGGAAAAGGCAGACCAGATAGCTTCGGCCTTAAGAGAACAAGTCAAGGCAAAAACCGGGTGTGCTGTTTCAGTTGGAATCGGAGGCAACATTCTGTTAGCAAAAGTCGCGCTTCGGAAAGCCAAGCCCGCAGGCCAATATCAGATCAAGCCAGAAGAGGTATTGGACTTCCTCGGCGACTTGAAAGTCGACGACCTACCCGGGGTCGCGTATAGCATCGCCGGGAAACTAGAAGAGATCGGTGTGAAATTGGTAAGCGATGTCCGGCAGACCTCCAAAGAACGCCTAATCAATACCCTTGGTCCGAAGACGGGTGAAAAATTATGGGAATATGCTCGGGGCATCGACCGAACGGAGGTCGGTGAACAACCGATCCGCAAGTCAGTCTCAGCTGAAGTCAATTGGGGAATACGGTTCATCAGCCAGGAAGAAGCCGAGGAGTTCGTCTTTAATTTATGTAAAGAGTTAGAGAAACGTCTTCTAAACGAGCAGGTCAAGGGTAAACAGCTCACGATGAAGATCATGAGGCGTTCATTTGACGCGCCCCTTGATCCACCAAAACACTTGGGACATGGCAAATGCGATACCTTCAACAAAAGCGTCATGTTCGGTGTCGCCACCCACGACTATCAAGTCTTAGGTAAAGAAGCCGTTTCGATACTCCGTTCCTACAAATTCAGCCCGGGCGACCTTCGCGGCTTAGGCGTACAGTTGACCAAACTCGAGCCGATCAAGACTTCGCTGTCCGGACCTGACGGGAGCCAAAAGAAGCTGACTTTCGGTGCTTTCCGTACTCCCGGCTTAAGCAAAAAGCCAGCCCTCGAGCCGATCCAAGATGGCAGCGGTACAGAAGAGGCTAGTTCGAGGCAAGCTCGAAGCGAGCCGCAAGACCCGATTACAGAGAGTCCTTTGACTCCGCGAAAACCGAAGCCAGAACGCCATCCGGCATTCGCGCTATCTCAAGCGAGCAAGGCGGACGCCAAAGCAAATACCCCCTTAAACATCAGCGGAACCCAATTCATCATGCCGTCCAACCCCGATCCCGCAGTCATCGCCGAGTTACCCCCGGACATTCGAAGCCGGCTTATGGAGCAAGGCCGTCGAGCTATCCCGGAGCCCCGCGACGAGTTGACACCAGCCGCCACCAAATCCAGGACTCAGAGTCCAGCACCCGTAGACGCCATCATCCCCCCCGAGATCGACCCCGAAGTATTCAACGCCCTACCAGACGACATGAAAGCCGAAATCCTAGAACAATACCGACCCCGAAGCAGACGACAAACCCCCCTCCCCCAATCCCCCCGCCGAGACCGCACCATCCAGCCCCTCAAGCAAAGAACCCCAACCAAGCGCCGCGTGCCCAACCTCTTCGCCCGCGCCCGCGAGCGACAAGCCGACGCCAGCGCCAAAATCGTACAAACCACAATCGCCAAGCAGCCCGACCCCAACGACGTCCAAGACCTAGACCCGGAATTCCTCGCCGAGCTACCGGAGGAAGTCCGCCAAGAAGTCATCGCGGACCATCAACGCCGACGACGTGTCCGCTCCGCCCTAGACCTATCTAAACACAACCAAAACAACAAGAGAAACTCGGACATCGGCAGTGGCAATGGCAACGGCAATGGGGAACAGGAGCCCGGAGCGGCCCTACTACCAAACGGCCAGACGCGCCTACGCTTTAACCCGCGCCCCCCCAAAGTCGGCTTCACATCCAACGGCTTAACGAGCCTCCCCGAGATCCGCGACATGCTCAACGTATGGCACCGGGAGACGCGGGACGAAGGTCCTCATAGGCGGGACGCCGAGATGCTAGAGAAGTACTTGGTGCGCGTCGTGCTAGAAGAGAAGGACATGGACAAGGCGGCTAAGCTAGTCCGGTGGCTGGATTACCTGGTAGAAGATAGCGGTGGGGATGGGGGCGAGGAGATGGAGTATCGTGGTAAAGAGACGTGGCGTGAGGTCGTAGGACGGGTTAAGATGGAAGTACAAAATGCGGTGCGGGACAGGGGGCTAGGGCCGTTGGATATATGAATTATTAAATGACGCCGAACATGACCCTATTTATATCCATTACCATAAGCGACACGATAGAAGACTTGGAGCACATAGCATTGTATATAAAAAAAAAACGATTGCTCTTATCATCGAAGCGGTGTATTTAGACCTGATAACGCTTTTTAAACAACGAATGCCACCTATCTACTATTCAGTTTCATCTCCGATTTTCATGTACTTCAGCTGGTCAATCAGCTCTTCTGCCCAATAATACCTATATCTAGAGGTATAAGCCGCAAACTTCCCCCGCGACAGCTAACTCAGTAGACAACAATGCGTAACGCCTCCTTAAGAGATGACGCTGTAACAAACGCTGGCTCTGATCTAAGGAGTGTGAAGAAATCAAATAGTAACACCCGATCTCAAACTTAATCATTCATCCACACATATATATCCTCACTCGTCGATTTTCAATTTTATATTGCTCCTTACAAGCAACCCCAGCCCAAGGCAAAAGTCACAGCCAGAACGAGGATGCCCACCCCCACGGCTTGTAGTGCCGCTTGATCATGGGGTGCTTCTGGCTGCTGGTTGCCAGTTCCGGCATTGCTTCCGTTTCCGCCGATTCCATTGTTATCTCCAGGAGTCTTCTTTTCCGTCATGTTGTATAGTGTTATGGCGAGATGTCCACCACACGCAGTCGTGTTGGCACCATCACACTACAACGATAAATATCAGTAAGTACTTCACAAAGTAAGAGGCTAAGTAGCCAGCGTAGTGGATACAGGTATATTCCCAGAGACGAAAGGGTTTCAATTGGTCCGACTCCATTGCTGTCCAGGGGAAAGGGGGTGTAAGGGTGAGAAACGAAGGTGGTTAATTTTGAATTATACATACGGGAATATCACAGACGTCGTCAGTTAAGTGGTTGCTGTGCTTCGAGATATTATTACCACACCAACACTGAGATCCTATCTCAAGGCCGGCGTAGCGGTAGCCAGTCTGGTTCTGTTTGTTCTTGTTCTTGTAAGAGTTGCGGCAGAAATCCACGCACACGTGGACATTCATGAGGCCTGCTTTCACCAGGTAGGGTCCATCGAGAGAATGTACGTCGGGGTTCATAAGGGCAACATCAGACCAGCATCCCACATATTTGTACACGGGATCCTCGTCGATGATTCTCAGCTCTGGCCGAGGAGAGGCAGTAGGGATAGGGCTGGAGTTGGGTGCGTCGGCCTCGACGATCAATGTGTTATTGGTAGTGTGGGTTGAAATGGTGGTGTTTCCGAAAGCAACAGGCATGGCTGGGCATGTTGGCTGGGATTGATGTGCCACCGCAAGGGGAGCTGTAGCCAGCAGCATGGTGAGGCCAAGGACACCTGAGCATGTGTAGGATGCCATTGCTCTATTATTTTGTTATAGTGTATAGTGTGGTATTCGTATCTATAACATGTAAGCTTAGCAAGATACTTGTTTGGGCAGTAGTTTGCTTACATGGAGATAGCAAGGGCTCTAGAATAATAATAGAGGACTGGCGTTGACGATCTGTCTCTATGGGTTAGCTGTCTGTAGATTGAATTGGTGTCTTCTTTCGACAATCACCTTGACAGAAATAAATCTGGAGTCCTCGTATGAATGTTCACGGTAAAATGAAGCCTTTAAGCGAAAAATGGTAGTATTAACAGCGATGATGATAGTAAGTCAATGGTCCTTTGCAAAACTAATGTTTGTTGTTGATGTGAAAATGTAATAGAGCCCTGTCACAAGAGATGGGGACAAAGTATTCAAACCTTTGCATGCCTGCCTACTTAAACTAGGAGTAAGAGCAGCTAGGGTAGATAGATGGCAGGAGGCGTGGGTAAGTACGTGTATGAGGCAGTAAAGGCCGACCCCTTATGCCTACCATTGCATCCTTGAGAGAAGCGACGAGGTACCTGTAGTATGTAAAACGACTTAAATCTAAGTCACACACACTCTCTCTATTAAACCTGTCGCTACTTCATACTACCCACAGCTGGGCATCTCCTTCCTTATTTTCCCCTATCCCTTCCTAAGCTTCCGAAAGAAACACCCTCGGTAAGAACCGTCTTTCCACGACCTCATTTTGCATCCAACGAACTTAGTAGAAGGGATGAAGCGTGCAGACACTGATTTCGGAGTTTCCATAAATCAACATGTACCTACATGTTTGTAATACCTTGAAGGGATGTCCTAGGAGGTAGCAAATAGCTTGATACCATAAAAATAGTGGAGGTAAAATGCATTTCATACATGCCGCTACTATGAGAGAACGGGAGTTTACATAGCATGGCTAATAAAGATACCTTACGGCAAGGTTTGAGATAGCTCATATACGTGCTTGATCATTTAACTATCTTTATTCGACTCTATGTAATCCGAGTCTATACGGCCAAGTATGTAGTCTTCACTATAATTCGTACAGCTCATAGTTCTATAAGATCCACCGCGGACCTCTAATATGAAAGGAGCATCTTTCCATAGAGCCCTCATGTTGAATATTTGCTGTAAAGGGGTACTGGTTTCAGTATATGTGCCATTGGCTATGGCAAGGGTATATACAGCATGCTTCCATGCTAACCATGGACATCGTCCTTATTTACCCACGTTCCTACGAGTCTCATAGCTTTCTCGTCCCCATCTATCAGGCGCTCATCTTGCAGTACATTTGATAAACATCGCCAAGGATCTCGGCTTCCTCCCCACTTGAGCAGATTCTCCTTTAGCCTCTCGCCGTTTGCTCGATCAAGCGCGGCCCCGTTGTGACCCGCCGAGAAGACAACCTGCCATACGCGCTTAGAGAGGACTTGGTCGAAGAGATAGCTATAATAGGTGCTGCCGTAGCCGAACAAATGGCCAAAAAAGCCTTGCCATCTAGTTCCTGGTGGATCCGACGGGAGCTTCCCGAATTTCCTTTGGAGGTCTAAATAGATCTTCGTAGAATCAAATGTGCTATCAAGTGGTAGGGTCGAATGATACTGCTGGTCCAACATGGCTAGTATAATCTGGTTCTCCCTGTCTGATGCCTCAAATCTCCTAGATATGTTTAATTTATCCACGACCATATCAAAGGGTAATGGTTCGTCTGTGACATGATGTCGCGCAAACAGCCCGAGAACAGAGGGGTCTGCACAGAAATGTTCCATTAAAGTAGATGGTAGCTCTGCTAGGTCAGTCGCGCATCGGGTTCCGGCTACATTCTGTAAAGAAGTCCGGGCTAGAATTGAGTGGATGGCGTGTCCCATCTCATGGAAGAGCGTTTCCATCTGATAGTAATCTAAGAGGGCAGGTCCGCGTCCCTTATTCTCTTCGAAATCACAAACTAGCGCAATTGTTGGCAGCTGTTTGACGGAGCCGGACTTCTGGGACACATGCATCCCATCGTTTGCCGCATCAATAGGAGACTCGAATTTGGGGAGTCCTTCGACACCAACTGCATCTCGTTCTGCCACTTCTTGGATTTCGGCTTCTGATATCTCTCTGGAGCAACGCACTGTGAAATGTGCTGGGTTAGGAGACTTATCATCTCTGAAGAAAAGATCGCAATATAGGACCGCGACATGTCCATCTGTATCAGACACGACATCCAACCGCCTCACGTCCGGATGCCAGGTTTCTCCTGGAAGTGTGTCTTGAGGGACAAGCCTGATTCCGTATAAGCGGGTAAATAGTCTCGACAAGCCTTGCATGACAGTCCCAAGTGAGAAATAAGACGATAGAAAATCATCATTACGTCGTCGCGACCTCATAGATGAACGAATACTCTCCATATAATAGTCTCTGTCCCATGGTTGGAGATCAGTTGCTGTGGAGTTCTGCGTTTTGCTCTTCTCTCGAAGGAGGGCGGCAATCTCTTCTTCAACAAGCGGTGCATTGCGATTAGATAGAGCTAGAAGGAACTGATGGACCGACTCAGGTGTTTTAGCCATCATCTTATCATGCAAAGCCATCTGGCTATAACTTTCGAACCCGGACAGCTTTGCAAGTTCAGCTCGCGATTGTAGCAAAGCCTCTAGGATTTGGACCGACCTGCCGGAGGCTGTTCGGGTTGCGTAGTAGATGGCCTTTCTCGTATCCTCGTCATGCACGCTTCTCAGTGCCACTGTTGCTTCAGGCGACAACGTCGGTAACCGGATAACGCCTCCACGGGTATACCTCCGAGCCATCTGCGGGTTCATTCCATATAATTTACTACTGGGGAATTCGAGAAATCTCTGTTCGGGTTGCATATCTTGGACGAAATACGACCCTAGTTCGCTAATCTGCTGCGATAGGTCGACAAATTGATCCCGCGACCCTTGTGGGAGGTGTATTGCCGACTTCATAAAATCTTGTTGTAGTAGTTTCGCAACTGTCTGCTCCTCCTCGTTCCAGCTAGCCATGACCTCTGGATTAGCGAGAGCTTTCCCTAGCTGATCACTTAAACCCGTCGCAGTGTTTAGCTGGTTCATATACTGGTAGACCAGCGACCATGCCTGCGACGCAGCTGCTTGAATCTTCTCATCGGGGTGAGTTACCCGCACGAAATCCGAAACATCCAGGACTCGACATAGTAGATCGCTTAATCTATCTAGGTCTCTCACGACCGCCTTATACTCTTCCAACGTCGACGCATTGAGCACCTTGTGAACCAGCTTCTGAGATCTCTTAATCGTGACATCTGCAAATGTGAGGAAGCCTTGTGGTGACGTTAGGTATTTGTTTCTGAACAAGCCAACGTTCTCACGACTCGCGATCTTGAAGAAGGGTTTAGCAAAGTCTTTGAAGGTCGGCGGGGAGTCGAAGATCTGGCGCAACAGTGCATCGTCATGTTTTAGGTCGGTAGGAGAATGATCGATCGGTATCTGTGAGGCGTCGACTTGAGCGGCGCCAGGCGCAGAAGAGAGCCACCGCCTTTGGTCCCGAACTCGAGAAGTTCGAGAAGCTTGTCGGAGACATCTTGAGCAGGTCCATAGACCTGAGCGCATAGTCTTTATCATGACGTATTGAACATTCTTATGTAGGTAGTTTAGAAACTTTGAACCCAAAGCAAAGCCCCAAGGAAACTACCTACCATTAACAAAAAAAAAAGAAAAGAGTGAAAGAAATATGAAATGTCCCTACAAATAATGTTTAATTGTTCAAGTGCAATTGTTTCGCCTGTACGCCCTAGTGGAATGAAGCTGCCGCTGCCGCACGGAAATTGACGGTTCGCAATTACGTTTGTACCTGCGTACAAACCAAAATTTCGCCGAGGGCCCGACCCGGAAACCGCCGGGTAAAAAAAAGGTACATGCCGATTTGTACGTACATAGTACATCATCGTTGCAGTCCAATATTGAATATTCTCAAAAAAGAAGCTTCCAAGTTTTCATAATTCCAAGCACTGCCAACCCCAATTGAGCGCAACATGGCTGCGAGAGTGCTGCTGCGACGGGTGAGTTTACCTCTTGACTATTTGATCTAGCTATTGAAGTACTGATTGAATTGTAAAACTATAGCGTGTCGCTGCGCCTTTCATGGCTGCGACTCTTGCCGGAGGAGCTTTATTTCCCTCGGTTGCGCTGGCTGAAGCACCCGCACACGACCACGTACGGCTACTCTCCTCCGAGTACTAATATATCAGTGAGGCGCTTTATTAATTCGTACACATCGACAGTATTCCAAGAAACCTATCTACGACGATTACGAGACCTTCCTCTCCCCGAAAGCCACCAATACGCCAGTCCCGTCACCAGCCTCAGATACTATATCAGAAGCATCCTTCTCATCGTCAACGACGTCAGTCGAACAACCAGAGCAAAAACACCACAGTCCGACGCCGACCGATCGGTTAGCCGTAGAGGTCGGTAAAGCTCGTCTATTCTTATACCGATATGCTGTGGCTACGGAGGATGCCGTAAACAGAGCCATGGACAAGGCATTCCACCTGGAACGGTCCTTCACCGAAACCATCGCATCGCTAGCGCCACCGCGGGAGAGCGGGGAGAAATTGATGCCAGGACTAGTATACGTGCTTGTAGCATCCATGACAGGTAGCATCATCACAAGGAACCGCAATATCATCCTACGGGCCACGGTACCCCTAGCCTTCGGCGTCGGCGCCGGCTGGCTGCTTCTCCCCGTCACCATGACCAACGTGTCAAACCTGCTATGGCACTACGAGCGCCGATTCCCCGCCGTAGCCGAGGCTCATCTTAAGACGAGACAAAGCATCCAAGACGCCTTGCGCTTCGCCAGAGTCCACGTCGATGTCGGGAAGAACTACGTCGACGAGAAGGTCAGCAACACCCGCGACATTGTCGAGAGCTGGGTAAAGAAGGGTAAATAGATAGAGGAGAAGTCTTTTCGAAGAGAATACTGCCTTGTACTTTAGACGAATAGACACAAAATTTGCTTTGTTCGAGGCTGGGAAGGATACCAACTACCTACTATTGGACGTGTAATTGAAAGTACATATGTTGTTGTATACATCTCCCGTTGCTCTATTTTGCGTAAGACTGAAGTCTACAGAGCTCATCTTCAAACAACAACTTTGATCGTAAACTAAATCAATAAGTATTAAAGGGTTTGCTTGGTAAACCAACGCATGGTATATTTTACAAGTTGCTCTCCGCAATACCTATCCTGATTTTATTCAACGCCGTCATGGGATCCGCTAATTTACATGCCATACGCGGCCGCCCGTGCCTATCCTATCTTTACAACTCAGCATTACGCTCCGCCTTCCTAACCAGGAAATTCAAAGTCCGCTCATACGTCCACATCGTGACAGCACTCGCGGGAGCTGCCTTAAGCAAACTAACCGGTAACCCTCTATAAAGGCCCCTAACCCCTTCCCTCTCCAGGATCTGACGAATGGTGCTCACCGTACCGGCGTACTCGGGGATATTCTTGTGGACGTAGCGGCTCCGCGTGGGGCCTTGCACTTGAATACGCTTGCGCACGAGGTCGAGCGGAAACACGCCCGTCTTCGCCACGACGCTAGCGATGACTCCAGCCGTGGCGTCTCCCGTACCCCAAGGCAGCGCACCGACTTGTCCCAACGGCAGCCGCGCGCCCTCGTACACGGCGAAGAAGAGCCCCATGAACGGTACGATCTGCCCTAACGCAGGTGCCAGTCCCCGGAAAAAGCCAGGCACGCCCTCGTCTCGCGCTATGTCGGCTATAGCCCGCCGCAGCGACGCGTACACGCGGTCGTTGCCCTGGGCCGCGAACCGCGTGCGTAGCAAGTCCAGCGGGTACGTAGCCGCGGTAGCTGCTGCGCCGGCCGCAGCACCGCTGACAAAGGACTCGACGGACTGCGGGAGCCGGCGGGCGTCTCCGTTAAGGGCGCGTAGTAGCTGGGTTGTCGACCGGTAGGTAGTGAACTGGATAGAGGCGTACGCGACGTACATCAGCTCGGCGGGTACATTACCCTTCCACAGGGCGGTGATGCCCTCATTAGCAACGATGTGGCGGAACGTGCCGATAGTGCCCTTATAGATGGGAGAACCGCGAAGGTCGAGGTGAGTTCGCGGATCTGAGAGCGAGTGCGATTGCAGTTGCAGGCGGATCTTGACGACGTCGAGAGGCGCGACTACGAACCGGGATATCAGACCGGCCGTAGCCCCGGCGGTTACGACTTGGAGCCGTGAGCCCTTTAGTAATCGCGAGACAAAGCGTCAGTTTTTACTCCTTTGTCTCATGTACCTAATGAGGTATATTGCGTCTCCAGGGCCAAAACTAAGCTTTAGGTACGTACCTCATCCTTGAGACGTGGGCCAGATTTCGACATACATCCGCAACGGCCCTACCCGGGACTAGGGGGTGTAACTCGGGATATGATGCTAGGATGTTTTCCAACCCGCGAGATTAACGTGCGTTAGAAATTCCCGGGTGCGGCCCCGCGCAAGCTATGGACGGTATGGAGGTATGGAGATTTGTTGTACTGCGCGATGATGTAGTGTAAGATCATTGAATGTTTGTAAGTAGAAAATAGCAAAAGTTGCAGCACGTGCCGTAGCCCGTAGCCACTTGCAGTCCGGCGAACAAGGGCTACGGGGTTTAGTTGAGACGCGTGACGATGCCGATAGAGCTAAGAGAATCTCGACTGGCTCGGCCGATTAATTACGGGCGATCTTGTGAACACTACCTTTACCTTAAGTAGGTTAGGTACAGATGCACGAACGAACGAAGTACGACCGTCAGCAAATACATGTAAGGTGCATCCCGCGATCTTAAAATTTTAGGTTACACTTGAAATACTTAACTACTACGTCAAGCCGCGAGATGGCGCTTTCCATCGGGAATTTGGAAAATTCTAAAGCCGATCCAAAATTTCAAAGGGCAGAAGGGCTAAATAATAGCACTTGACCCCAAAAAAGTGACGTAAATTGATAGGACTTTTACATACAACCAATCTGCTATATTGACATGTAGCTTACCTGCAATGTGCACTGCAATGTTCTGCAATAACCTACACTACAATAGGTTGCAATGGTAGGATCGACAGATATTGTAGGTGGTATGACAGGGCTATACTACGTGTAAATGTGAATCAAACATCATCGGTTCGGAGCCTAGTTTGAGCATTTCAATGTCCCCGGTTCCAATCCAACGTATCATTAGAAAATGCGTCCAGATGCATAATTACGTCCATCGCGGGGCTGATATGACCGTGATATTTGCAACTGTTCAATCTTTTCATTTTAATTAATTCAGGGCCAAGCCCCACTAGGCATGCGCTTCCGCCGACTAGGAGGAGTATTCGACCACTAAAATTCGACCTAACATAAGGCAAGTTTACTTATGTGTGTACCTATTAACTAACAGGCCTAATTCGCTAAGTTGAATAAGCTTCCGCCCGCCCGAGCTTATGCCTGCCATTCGTCCATTCGTCCTCTCCCCAGATTTAGAGTGGGACTCTCTAAGTCGCTAAAACTATTGGTTTCTTTTGGAGTTCTGCAACATACATAACGTACATAACAGACTCCTTACGATTGCCTCTTTTCCCCTTTCGATCCTGTCTCGTCATCTATCCTTCTTTCTTTCTCTTATTACTATCACGAATTCTCTTCTACATTTTTATACGGCTTACCTTTTCTGTCCCTTGACCCTGAAACAATATAACGTTGACTAGCGTAGTTCGCGTAACCAAAATAGGACGTCAGCCTCTGAAGGAACGTCTGACAGGCCTTCGTTGCATGTGATAAGCTCCACTGTCCACTTATTCGAGGAACTCAAATAAGAAGCTCCAGTAACGCCTACTTTTGACTCGTGAACTCTCACCGCAGCATACGGAACGATACCAGAATCTCTACTCTCTGGGGAAATCATGGCAGCTTCAACAGTCAAGCAACCGGACGTTCAACAAGTCTTAGGACCTCTGTTACCCTCGCTACCAGCCGCCGCCTTGTCAGCCCAACCTGCAGAAAACGCTCTTCCACTTCTCTCCCCGATTCTTAGGCAACGAGTCCAGCTTTTATCATCAGCTAGCTCAGAACCGTGGATTCGCCTGTTGTGTTATGAGCCCGGAAATGTTCCTAAATTGACAGAGATTGCCCAGGGCGATCGGCTAGAACCCCATCCTGTATCTGGCGAGGTCGAAGTTGATTGGGAGTATGACACGGAAATCCGCTATCGGCGGGTGGACGAGGAGACTCTCCAAGCGCTCGTATTACTTAAAGATATCGGCTTAACTTTCCGCCTGGTTTATTGCGTTGGAGATCCTACAGGCGATGGTTGGAAAGTGGGCGAAGTCAATGTAGCCGAGAAGCCGTCTCCGTTTTTATCGTTTGGTGGCGTTTCAGACATTGGCGAAGCCGATAGGCAGTTTAACGAGTCCAAGTCGAAATCAGCTCAGAGCAACGGCTTTACAGCTAGCCAAGTTGCTCCTGTTGTGGACGACGACGACGACGACGACGATGATTACTGGGCAAGATATGACGCGACACCTGCGAGAACTCCTGCTGTTAAAAGATCGCCTGCTCCACAATCTACTCGTGGCGTCAGCACGACAGCCGAGGAAGATTATTATGCTCAGTACGACGATGTCCAACCAGCTATGGACAATCATGACCCGGACGAGGAAGCAAATTATGAAATAGCACCGCCTCTAGGTCTAGGCCCTAGGCCAAGCAACGGCAGCGACGAGGAGGAGATAGAAATCAACGAAACTCAGGGCGCATGGACACTTGCCCCTAGGCCAAAGTCACCTTCTACACATTCGAGAAGTGGTGACGATCCAAGCATAGTTCATCCTTATCCGAGGCCTGCTTCGAGCACCGGATCAAACGCTTCGGTTGAGAAACTCGAGGCGGCGGCAGCGAAGCAAGAGCAGAACGATTTCGGCGTTAAGCAGCACGTATCTCGAAGCATTAAGAGCTTGTTTATGCTGTCCCGTGCGTCAGGAATCGATCGCGAGGAATTTGAACGACTAGTAAAGACGGAACTTGATACGTTAGGACTATTGGAAGAATGAATCCAATCTGAGAGATTATGTTTCAAGTTACGTAGGTATTTCAGGTTGGGGGAATCTGGTTGTATTTACAGGCGTTCGAACGGCCAAATTGGCGGGTACATCATTTTTGTTGGGGGTGCCCGGCAGTTTACATAGCAGCTACCTAGGTACAGACATGCGTGGCTATTTCAGGTATATATCTTGCATAAAAGGGGTGATGCATCCTACGGCGTTATCGAGTTAATCGGGATACCTTTCAAGTGTATTGTATGCAAGAGGATATCAGAAGAAATTGAAAATATACGAAATTTACTAAAATGTACCTCCGTAAATCAAACAATGAAGTTTATGTGATAGGAGCAGCATTTACCCGTTTTGCCTAACCTACCTAAGGTACATATGTGTGTTGGTGGTCGCTCAATTAACTTGATGTACTTCGTATTCATACACGTACCTTTACGGATCCGTAGAAACAGATACATTGGTACAAGGTACGACGAAGCTTAGCCCAATTTAGATAACGATATCTCCGGCGGGAGGCGGCCCCACATGTCCCTGAATCGGTGCCCCTCCTAATACCCCTCTGACTCAGAAATAAATAGGTACACGTCTACTAAAATATATACATTCGATAAACATAAAAAAAAGTTTGAAAAAAAAAAAGTTTGAAGACGGGAGAAAGCGTCCCTTACGTTGTTTCGCAAACCATATCGACTTCGAGCAATTCTCCTTCTTAAAGATGACTCCCGAAGAGTCAATTGCCTTGATCAAGGTCGGCCTGACCGAAGTTCTCAACCACGAAATCATCGAAGATGTTATCCTTAATCAGAAACGAGACCTCAAAGTCTACTGGGGAACGGCCACGACAGGACGACCGCACTGCGGCTACTTCGTGCCCATGGTGAAGATCGCAGAACTCCTCCACGCCGGATGCCATGTCAAGATCCTCCTCGCCGACTTACACGCCTATCTCGACAACATGAAGGCCCCGCTCGACCTAATCGAGCAAAGACTCAAGTACTACGAATATATCGTAAAGAACTTACTAAAAGCTGTGGGCGTAGACATCACAAAGCTAGAGTTCGTCAAGGGAAGTTCGTACCAAAAAAGCGAGAATTACACAATGGATCGGTTCAAGTTGGAGGGTATGACTAGGATATCGGTTGCGCAGAAGGCTGGTGCCGAAGTCGTCAAGCAGACTAGCGATCCGTTCCTAGGTGGCCTGACCTACCCCCTTATGCAAGCGTTGGACGAAGAGTACCTCGACGTCGACGCGCAACTCGGTGGTCTGGATCAACGCAAGATCTTCACGTTTGCCCTGGAGAACCTACCGAAGATCGGTTACAAGGTCAGGGCGCATCTGATGCACTCGATGGTGCCTGGCTTAGGAGAAGCACAAAAGATGAGCTCCAGCGAACCGGACTCTAAGATCGACCTGCTAGATTCCCCCGACGTGGTATCCAAGAAGTTGAAAAAGGCCGTGTGCGTACCTAAGAAGATTGAAGGCAACGGTGTTGTGGCCTTCGTAGAGCATGTTATTTTCCGGGTGGTAGCTATAAAGACTGGAGGAAAACCTCACTTCACAGTCGAGAGACGAGAAGGAGAGCCCCTTATCTACGACGACATTGAAAAATTAAAGGCAGATTACGAGGCAGACATAGTAAGTGGCCCCCAATCGGTGTAATATATCTTGCATAATACTAATCGCCACGCAGCTCACTCCCCAGCTCCTAAAGGCTGCTTTGACAAAAGCGCTGAACGAGCTCTTAGACCCTATCAGGAGCGAGTTCGAGGCATCAGAGGAATGGCAGAAGATTGCAGAGCTAGCTTACCCGTCGGAAGAAAAGCAGCAAAAAGTGAAGAAGCAAAAGGACAAGGGCGACCCGGCCAAGCGTGCAGCTGCGCTCGCGGCGAAGGCAGAACAGTTGAAGTTGAAGGAGGGTGGAAGCGAAGAGTCGAAATAAAACTCATGATACCTCGTGGCAGTATTCCGTATTCGTAGAACTGATGCTAACACATAAATTGGTGTCTTGCATTTTCTTGGAGCCCTTGGAGCCGATAGATAAATATCATGGTTATTACTATTACAAGATTTCTATTTATTTTACTTTTTGGAAGTGTGATTTAATCTAGTTTAGCCCTTGTGTTGTAATTGTCAACGAAAGAAGTTCTAGGTAATGGTAATGGTTATAAGTGGCCGTATCTCTTATAGTTAGTGTATAGTGATAAAACAGGGTCCGCACGGGGGGATTACATAGGTCATGGCATGGGGGGATTCACGGGGAATTCAATGTTCCCCTGCCGAATTTATTTCTGACCAATCAACATGCAGCGCACTTTCGCTGCTCGCGCATGTTAACTTTTAACTTCGTACGCCAGAAAAAAAAAAGTGATTGGGAGCTATGAAATAGTGTCTTATACCTATTCCACAACCACAACCATGCTACGACCCAGATTACGGATACCGAGGGCGAGCCGGTTATGGCGTCCAGCACCATCGTCCCGTTCAATACACCATGTCCCCCATCTAGATATCAATCCAGAAGATGGAGTACCCGGGCTACTGTCTCCAGGAGGCTTCGATTTCGCATGGACTCAATACCAACAGCTTGTCGTAGAGAGGCTCAATATTTTAACAGCTGGTACGTCAACATAATTATACACGTTGGGCAGGGCAGTTAGAACAGTTGATTTCCAGTCGCTATTTCGGTATTGCGGGAAACAAAATACTCAACACTCAACATTCGCCATTCGCCATTCGCCATTGCGTTTATTTAAACCGATTAAAGCATTAAGAGCTAACACTAGGATTAGGTACTGATTATGAACATGAGGATGCCCTATCAATCCTTAAGTCAACCGCGCGAGAGCCTTCACAAGCACCTATCTTTAACTATGCATCCATGGCACATAACAACCATTTCTTTTTCAAGAATCTCAGCATTGTTCCCGATCCGGAATTACAGGAACAGGGTGAGTCAAGGAGACAGTACAAGAGTAAAATAACTGAGGACAATACTGACAATATGCCTAAAGAGGTTCCCGATGAAGAAAGAATCCCCCACCAACTAAAGACCGAGCTGTCAAAGCAATTCAGTTCGATCGAAACGCTCCGTCGCGAATTTCTTGTCACGGCAATGGCCATGTTTGGGCCCGGATTCGTGTGGCTGGTCAAGAACGCGCAGTCGACCGAATTGCGCATTCTGACAACCTACCTAGCGGGGAGCCCGTACACGGCAGCGCACTGGCGCCGCCAGGGTCTCGACATGAACACCCAGAGCATCAGTGAGAATAGTCTGGCCAAGAGCTGGCTAGAACGCAGCCAGACGGCAGCCGGCGGAGACGTTGGCGCCAGATTCGTACCCCACAACAAGACCGCGCCGGGTGGCACCGACGTCATCCCCCTCTTATGTTTAAATACGTGGGAACACGTATGGTTACGAGATTACGGTATCGGAGCCCGTGGCGTAGGAGGAAAGAGGCAGTTCGTTGAGAACTGGTGGAAGGTCATCAACTGGAACAACGTTGAGAGCGCAGCGAACATCAATAGGCCCAAACCCAAGACATGATGAGGAAATGACTCGGCATGAACAAGCGGGAGACTTTTGCTTCCGGGCAGTTCGACTTGTACCATACTCAAAACCCCTTTCAAAATTAAGGGAGGGCCATGTGCTATACACTCAAAATGTACGTGATATTACCAAGGGGTAGTACGTCTTCATGGTGGTGGATGATCGGTGTCTACCTAGGCAACGAGTTTTATCAGATCCTCCTCTTGGTAAAGTGCAATGAGGTATGAATAAATATCCGATACTGCCAAGCACTCGGGGAATATCCTTTTGTTGTCTAAGATGCGGAACTGGGCGCTTGGATAATATCCCCCGGCAGATTATTCAACAATCACCAAGTCTATAAGAACAATGTGAACTGTGAACCGTGAACGTATTTATTTTATTTATCAATCTTCCTTTTCCCGCGATTTTTCAAAACTACCTAATCCACTGATAGCTTAACATACATAACAAATAGGGAGTGTGTTGTTGGTATCTCAAGAGCCCGTAGCCGCCGTTATTCGTCGACTATAAGCAAGAAAAAAGCAAACACATAAAAAAAAAAAGAGAAAAAAAGGGGGCAAAATATCCGTTTAAACCCCCACGTTCGTACGCCTGGAATCAGGTATCATCTGTCGAAGCAGACAAGAAAATCAAACAAAAAAAGGTAAGTGCGTGCTCGCTCGCAAACGGCTAACGCCTGGATATCATCAACCATCAACCCTTGCCATTGCCATTGCTATCGCAGCCCTCGTCTTTCGTCTTTTCGTCGTCTTTTCGTTCACCAATTACCGTGCCAACATTTGCCATTCGTCATCATATCGTCAAAATCCAACTATTCGCTGGATCCGGGTTGGGCTGTATGCCCCTATATAGGTAGGTAAGACAAGGAGCGAGGGGAGCAATGCAATGCAGAGCAGAGCAACGCGAAGCAAAGCAAAGCAAACGTAATTTCTGCGACACCCAGCTGGCTACCGCTATAAGACCTTGGCCTCGGTGAGAGGGAGGTACGTATATATGAAGTGGGAAGTGGTTGAAACGTAGTAGAAAAAAAGGAAAAGAAGATATATGAAAAAAGATGGTGGGTATAGGAGGTAGGCAGACATGTAAACATGACCATCCGTCCGTCCTAGATCATGTTCCCATTAACGCTAACCTCAAACCCCTCGCCCTTCTGCCTCAGCGCCTTAGCAAGCATAAGCTCGCGCATCCAATCGATCCTCTCGTCGCGGCTGCGCACCGCGAAATGATGCGTCTTCCCCGTCCCGTTCGCCGCGCCCTCGAACCCGGCGCCCGCAACAGCAGGCATCAGCGGCCCGGACCCGATGCTCTGGCTCTCCCGCTTGCGCAGCCGCCCCATGCCCATCCCGCTGCTGCTGCTCCCCTTCGACACGTCGCCCTGCGGTATCAGCTGGAAGCTGAACGCCGCGACGGAGTCCGAGTCCGCGGCCGAGGGGCTGCGCCCGTGCTTCGACCGGCTTATGCTCATGGCTTTGAAGGCCGCGTTGAGCTTGGACCCGGTGGACAGCGAGGAGCAGGCTATGGCGTAGTCGTCTATGTCGATGTATTCGAGGGCGCGGGAGCGCGTCGCCGCGTCCCGGTGCAGCGCCAGACGCGTGCCTTTCAGAGTGGCGTATTGGTCGTGCCATTCGTGCCGCAGCATCCGCGTCTTGCGCTTCTTGACGGGGCCTTGGTACGTGATGCCCTCGGCGTCCTTGACGACGGGCGGGGACCGAGGGCCGGCGATGCCGTTGACGGAGGAAGAGGTGGTGGTGGTGTGTAGAGGGGGGAGGGCGCGCTCGAAGGAGGCGCCGCGGGAGGAGGTGGGCGACCAGGGGTATTGCGCGCGAGGAGGGGCTTGGAGAGGCTGTTGAGGGCGGGAGGGGACTTTAGGGGGGGAGGAGGATTTAGGGGAGGTGGAGGAGTGGTGAGGGAATCGGGGGGTGGTGATGCGGCCGACGGGAGTGGTGGTGATGGAGTCCTCTTCTACGGGCGCCAGGGACGGGCGCCGCGAAGCTCGGGATTGCGATCGCGGTCCTTGTCCTTGGGCCGCGGGGCCTGCGCGGTAGTTCATGTCGGGCGGGACGGATTGAGATGCGTCTCGGGCGACGGGACCTAATTGCACGGCCGTCAAGGGCACGTCCATGTCTGAGAAGGGAGTGCCGAATCGGTAAGGGGCGTTTTGTAGATCGGGCGATAGAGCCTCGGCCCTGTCCATCCGTTGCGGGTAGTGGTACTGGGAAGGCTGCGGTGTCCGGTTGGCGTCAACACGTAACTGTTGTGATTGGCGCTGAGGTGGCTGCTGCTGTTGTTGTTGTTGTCCCGGGATGGAAAGCTTAGGCAGAGCACGCAAGCCCTCGTGAGGCCCTCGCGGTAGTATCTCAAAGGGAGGCGTAGGCGGAACTTCGCTGGAGCACGCGCCGTCGTCCTGGTGTTGGAAGTCGAGGAACTGGCGCACGTTGTCCAGGGGGTCTCGTGTCTGAAGATTGCGAAGGGCGGCTTCCTGCAGGTACTGGAAAGGGGGCATGCCGGGGCCGAGAACGTCCGACGACGCGACTACTGAGGGCACGGCATCAGACATGGGCCGCAACGCCTCAGTGGACGAGGGACGGTTGATGGCCGGTGCGGTCTCTGGGTTTCCTGGGTCCCCGGCGACCATGATGATGCCGCCCTGCTCGACGTCTACGAACGGGTGGTCCTTCTTGAAGGCCTCGATCATGCGTTGCTGTCTCCTGTACTTGGAGCAGTTTTCGCCTTTCGAGCAGTGGTGCGGCTTCGGCATCATCTGCTCGATCCCGACGATAGATACCGATTCTAAGGGCGAGATGATATCTTCGTGGGAAGGCTTTTTCTTGCTGTGGCTTCGCTTGAGGCTCTTAGAACGCTTGACGCTTCGGCTACGATGCTCCTCCCCATTCTCGTCTTCCGGTCTCTGTTCTCTTCTCCGCTCCCTCCTTACCTCCTTGCTCTCCTCCTCTTCTATCGGGGTGTCGAGTCTAGGCGAAGATGTCACAGCAGCAGTAGCAGCAGCAGCCGCAGCCGCAGCCGCAGCCGCTTTGCTATCCCGTAGGACGTGAATCTCCTCCCATACTTTAGTCCGAACTCCGAAAGATTGGATATTCAATTCTCGTAGATCCTCGAACTTCAACGTAATTAAGATAGCCCCGTTGATGTCGTTTTCGACGAATTTCTCGGCAATTGAAACTTCAATGCCAGCATTGAGCATCCATTGCGCCACCTTCTCCGGCGTCCATATTGCCAGGTTACCCGGGTCTAATTTCTCGTGCGTGAACTGGAACGGGCTGTTCCGAGATCGAGGTGGCGGCGGCTCGTAAGTGAGAGCAAACCGATGGTCCGCTTCTAACGGTTTGGCTGTCTTGGGTGTTATTGGCGATAGGCTGAGAGCTTCTTGGTATTCGAATGAGTTCAATGACGTTGTAATCGATGCTCGGAATAGATGCGGTCCTCTCGGTCCCTCCACCGGCTTCGACGAGTCGAATCCAAAGGGGAACGCGTTGCGAGCTCTGCTCGACCTAGGCGTTTGTACTTCGTCGTATGACGATACTGTTGTAAAACTGGGCTGGCCCGACTAAGTAATTGGGTTAGTAGCGAACGCCACCAAGCGATATATCGGGTTGGGGTTTTCGTGGGCTTACCGAATTTAGACTTATTCGTGGTGAATCCGGATCGTCATCTTCTATCTCGCTAACGATATCCTCGTCCTCTTCTTCATCCCAATCGGTATCTACAAACTCAGTCGCTACCGAGGTCGGGCGCGGATCATATCCTTTTAGACCGAAGAAAGGGTCATGAAATTGACTTTTCTGGCGCATTTCTCTATGCGATCGCTCGCTTGTTCTGAGCGATAGCGTATTCTACAGCAACGAGAGTCAGCCACTGCTGCTTAAGATGTGGTGGGTAAATCCGGGGTAGAGATGACTACGACCGGGAACTAATAAGCTTACCATTTCGAAAAATAGAAAAGGGGAAAAATGCAGAAAAAAAAGAAAGATGCGCTTTTTTGGTATCTGTTGCCGTTGCCGGCCTTACGATTCTCTTCCTCTCCGTCTAAGCCAAAGGGGGGGTATACGAGATATGCGAATACTAAAAGGAAATAACCTCGCTGTGAGTAGTCGAGGAATAGGTTTGACGTCGCAAAGGAGAGAGGAAACGGACGAAAGTAACAGCGCGGGCGCCTGCGGAACGTATATGTACGGGGTATACCGGTATAGTAGATGGTGTAGTATAGGTAGCCCCGGATCGCAACAGACCGCAACAGACCTATGCAGGAGAAAAACAGTGATACGCTGTGATAATGGAGAGCAATGCCACGATGTGATTTGTTTAATTGTTTCTCGGGACTTCACACAGCAGAGAGACACCGACCTAGAGCCACCTATTACAATGGCCTTCCCTATCACTAATAATAGCTCCGCGTCTGTGTCTGTGTGCTGCCTCTCTGTATGAAAGTCCCAAATCCCAAATCCCACGAAGCCCAGAATGGTCCCCCACCGAATGGCCCAGCGTTAAGCAACCCGAATGTACTATGGTATGTAGAGGGCTGGTTGGACAAGACAGATGAGGTGTGCTAGAAAATAATTGGGACTTTCTAGAGTTGCTATTGGCTGTGATTTGCCACGATCCCGGCACGTTTCCTTCTTCTAAGCGCCGGACAGCCTAAGCACGGATGAACAGGGATGAAGTTGTCCAAGTCCGCTTCACTTAGAACCCGATTAGGTATCGCCTTACAGTAACCGTTAGCAAAAGTGGCGCACTCTACGTAAGACTCAAAGAGTGAACGACTGCACGGAGGGACCAACATATCCATATTCCATATCTCCATCGACCACAAGGGGGACCACAGGGGATTCGAACGGGCGCCTCAAGACATAATACATATGGATGTTGGGCGTCCCTTACAGTTGGGGCCATGCGAAATTCTAAATTTCTAATTCACATCTCGATCTTTCTCCGCAATAAGCTGTGCAATGTAGCAACAGTCCCAGGTACCACCGCGAGGTCCCCGTGCTACGGGTGAAGCCCGCGCTACTGCATACCTAACTACCTAATGTACGTCTATCCCATCAAATCCAGATGTTTCTTGATCTACATGCGGAAGCGGTCAAGAGGTGAGTGAGCGACTTTCTCTTGTTTGTGATCCTTGAGAAGCCCACAGCACAGGCTCGGCCTATCGTGAGAAACGGGGCGGATCAAGTCAATTGATCCTCTAGGTTAAGCTATGTAGGAGCCGGGATACGATAAACCCGCTCGAATGATCACCGACAGCATTCGGCATTACCTAGCATTAGCATTACCTAGCAAATTGGCAGTAAGCGTTGAGCGGATTCGCCCCAAGTCGGTCTGCAAGCCTGTAAA